GGGGGGGGTGCGTGTGGGCGCATGCGATAATGAAGAATGAATAAAACAAATTATATATATTTGTGATAATGGGAAAAATTAATTGTAATGGTAAAATAATTTACCATACTTGTTGCATTTAAATTTAGAAAGTAACTTCAACAATATTGGAAATAGATCATTTATAAGAGCTTTATAAATAACTTATAAAGAAAGAAAATGTTTCATTAAAACTATGTGCTGATCTTGAAAGTTGCAATATAATTGAAAATATTTCCCCCCATCCTCATAGAATGATATAAGTATTCATTGCTTATAATTACAATTTGTCATTAACATTTTCTTTGTTGACAATTTGAATCCATGTTAAAGTGTAGAATTCCATATTTTTAACATTTTTGCTGAGAATTGTGGATTTCTTTTGAAGTTCACTTATCATACATTAAATTTTTCAGTATGACAGAAGGTGCTCAACAGGCACTCAGACGTACTATGGAGCTTCATAGCAAAACTACTCGATTTGCTCTGGCTTGCAATAATAGTGAAAAAATAATAGAACCAATACAATCTCGATGTGCTATGTTACGATATGGAAAGCTCTCTGATGCTCAAGTCCTTGCCAAAGTGACTGAAATTTGTCGTAAAGAAGAGGTAAGTCTGATATTTTTTATTATAACTGTTAAAGTTTTAATTTGAAGTGTTTATGAAGGAGTACATTAACAAAATGTGTTACAGATATCACATACTGATGATGGGCTAGAAGCTATTGTTTTCACTGCTCAGGGCGACATGAGACAGGCTTTGAACAATCTGCAGTCCACCTACAATGGCTTTGGTCATGTCAGTAGTGAAAATGTTTTTAAAGTAAGCAATCTCATAGCTTTTGAGCATTTTCTTCTTAATTTTTATCTTTACAAAATGAACTATTTCATGTGAGTGTTAATGTGCATACTGTATTTGTCTGTTAATAATTGTAGGTGTGTGATGAGCCCCATCCACTTCTTGTCAAAGAAATGTTAGAACATTGTGTTGAAGGAAACATTTCCAAAGCATACAAGATAATGGCACATTTATGGAAATTAGGATATGCTGCTGAAGATATTATATCAAATATATTTCGTGTGTGCAAAAATCTCAGTATGTCAGAATCTCTTAAATTGGAATTTATCAAGGTGAGCTTTGTTTTATACTGCATAAAGCAAAACATTGGTGATTCATTTTCATTTTGAAGGTTCTTAAAAATTTAATGTTTCAGGAAATTGGTGTTACCCATTTGAGGATAGTGGATGGTCTGAACTCTATTGTGCAGATGTCAGGTTTATTGGCTAGATTGTGTCAAAAATCCCTGGCAAAAGCTTGAAGAACTTGCAATTGTACAAAGATGTGAGTTAATTGATGATTGTACATTGTAAAACAAGTTTCAAAGTTGTAATATAATTGTTTTGTATGTTCTCAAATTTGTTGAAGAATGATTTCCAGTTACACCTGTCCTTTGCCAAAATTAGTCTATGTTCATGAATCTTGAAGTCTTGTTAAGTATCATCTCCCTCGTACAACAAGCGTTTTATGCATCTTATTAAGCATGGTTTTGGTTATTATGATTTCTGAATTGATTTGTGCTATATTCTTGATTCGTTCTTTAAAAAATGTGTATTCATGTTTCTTGCAGACATGGATTTATGTGTTTTTTCATAATATATTAAAGTTACTTCTTTTAACTTTGGTAATATCATCTCAGTTTGCTTGTATTAATAAATAAAACGTCTTTTTTTTTCCCTAAAACTCCCCCCTTTTCACGGAGCAGGATAGCAATACTTTCTCTTATAAAGTAACAGCTGGCAAGTAATATAAAATTGATGAAAAAATATTTCCGATTTTGTAAACAATTTACATCCAATAATTTTAATTTATGTTTAAAAATAAACAAATAAATAACTATTTTGATATTTTAATACAAATTATTATTTTAGCAAATGTTGAAAAATGAAAAACAATAAATACCAGTGTTAAATAATACTAAACTAATAGTTCGTACCCCTAAGTAACGCAGCTTAAAGCTGCCTCAAATCCCTCATCACCCTCTTTAGCTTGACATAATTTATGGACAACCCTTCAGTAAGTAGAGCCTCCTAAATGCGGATGAAGGTTTGTGGCATTGCCCATTCAATGCTGCGATAGGCATTTTGATGTTTTTTTCCGAAAAATTTTATTGTTTGAATGGCGACGTGAATGGAAGAGGGAAATGACAAAGCAGGCTTGATGGCAGAAATCAAAGGGGTTCAAGGACGTATGGTGTAAACTGGTTCTTTTTTAAGAGATAGTGGCTGCATGTTATTTTTGGTTAAACGGAAAAATAGAAAAAATATCAGAAGGGTTAAGAGATATCCGACGACCTTATGTGGAAATGGGCGTTGTAAGAATTTATAATATAAATGTTGAGGCTGCGAATACAGCTTGAGTTTTTTGGGAGTGCTTCTGAAGATCTCGTGCAGCAGAAACTGGTTCACAGCTTTCTAATCATTTGACACAAGGGAAGGTTCTGAAATGACAAGTATAAACATTGTTAGCTCTTAATTTGCCCCAAGGAATTGTTATAAATGATTGTATCTGAATTATGGTGCCTAAGTTGAACTTATTTGGCTGCCTACGGCATCAATAATATTACCGCAAATATTACATGTGGTAATAGAAACGTAAAATGTTGGTATGGTGTGAGCTGTGTGTGAAAACTTGGATCAGTCTAAAATTTGTGGTAATAAAACTATAAAAGAGATTGGTAACAGCCATGCAAGTCTTAGTGGTCATGGATGTTGTAAAGAGATATTGGGTGATTGTGGCCTCTTGAGGACATGGTGGCTGAGATTGGAATATATGTGCTAATGGTTACAGCAATGTTCAGAGTATGTATGGTGATCACTGTGGCTTCTACATTTGTGTAAAATGGTGGTTGCCAGCCTTATTTGTGGTAATGGAAGCATAAAAATTGAATCTGATGTAAATGATATATTATAGCCATGGCAGTCCGAGGATCCGGAGGTTCCAAATGTTATATTTCTGCTGGAAAATATTAAAGCGGTATATGTTGGTATGGTAATAGCCATGGCCTGTTGAAACCGGGATTGGCTACTCTATATTTGTGATAACACAAACATAAGGTAACTGGTGGGTAAGATGATAACCATGGTCTCTGTGGGCACATTTGTTGTATTGAAACTATGGAAGAGGTATCGGAGGATGTGACTGGAAGAAATTACTCACGGCATTAACTGATGACAATGTAGTCCCTCTGTCAGGCTGACCTAAGTTCGAGTCCCGACAGTGGCAGGATTTTTGTCACTAGCTTGTCTAAAGGTCGAATTCAGTCGCTGCCTGGAGGAGAATTGTAGCGGGCGGCCGGCAGCTCTGATCAGTAGTTTTCCGTGGTTTCTCCAATCAACATCAGGCGAATGCCTATCAAACGAGCCACGGACCACTCGGGATCTTCCCTATCTCTTCCTTGTCTTATCCTCACCCCCTTACACTAACTTGCACTACACTATAAAAACATGCCGGGAGTTTAGAGCTGGTACCGACTGGGGCGGTGCCCTGATCGTGGGAGATACCTGGTTTGGGAAACCCTGCTAGGGTCGGCCTACGATCTTGACTTACAGCGGTGAAAATCCACCGCCACATACCAGGCAAAAATATGCACTATACTTACGAGACATTGTTACCGCGCCCGATATTACTAACAATCAACATATCGGAGGATGTGGTGTGGCCGCAAAACTTAGATTTGCGGTTGTGAAACTTGGGTGAGTAAAGTGATAGTCGTGTTTGAGAACGTGGATTGCAGGTGTAATATTTATGATACTGTAATCGTAAAATAAATATTGTATTTGTTTGATGATAGTAGAGGCAACTCTTTGGAAACAGTGGCTGCGAGTCTCATATTATAATAATAGAAATTGTATAAAAGAGGGATTCGGTCGGTATGGTGATAGCCATGTTTGAATGCAGTGTTGGTGATAGCTCTGTTTGAATGCAGTGTTTGCAAGTTTTATATGTATGGTAATCGGAGCTTGAAACTGTTATCGGACAAGAATTGTGACTGACATTTGTCTGTGTGCTGATTGTTTGGAGTATAGTTACAAACGTGAATTACGACATCGAAAACGAAGCATACAAATGGTATCAGGCGGGTTAGACGTCGCTGATTCGGGTAAAGGCCGAGGCACCTTAGTATTATATTTGTGGTAATGGAAGCAAGCTTATAAGTGGGCAAGATATTATAGCCCAGGATATTGTAACCTCTGCCCAGGGGTGGTGGTTGCCAGTCTTACATTTGTGAAAATGAAAACATGTGGGTTATAAGTGGGAAATGGAAACATAAGTGTTATGGTGAAAGTGGGTCGTGAAAGTCATGTGGGTATGGTGAAAGATGTGGTCGCCACTTGTGGAGGCGGAGGGTGCAAGTCGTATATCGGCGGTAATGGGAGCACAAAATGTGTAATAGGTGGTTTTGGTGATAGTCCTGGCCTCCACGTAGAGATATTGGCTTCAAGTTGTGTTTATGGTAATGGAAGCATGTTTGGTATCTGAAAGGTATGGCATTACTTCTGTGTATGGTATGAAAGGAAGTACAACTTCCTGTGGAGACGGCAAGACTTAAGGCCCATTCACAATACAAACAAATATAAGCATGACGTTAACATAAAACTTAAGATTACGTCCATAAGTGGACTCATTCACAATGCGTTCGCATAAGCATAACACCAACTTAAAAGCATGCAAGCTTTTGTTCTTATACTTAAGAAAAACATAAGAAATGAACCAATCAAATTGTGAATTGGCTTTTTAATTTGTGGTAATGGAAGCATACAAGTGTTGTCGCGTCATAATGGTATTGTCCGTAGGCGCATCGTGTGGAGGAAATCTCATTTTTGCGCTAATGGGAGAATAAAAGGAGTATCTGGAAGAAATTGTAATAGCCGCTGACTTACATTTGTATGAAAGAGGTGTCGGGTGGGAATGGCGATAGGTGTGTCTGCTCCGTGTGGTGACGATGGTTGCATTTCTTGTATTAGTGGTAAAGGAAGCAATATGTTGAATTGATGGGTATGGTGATAGCTATGATCTCTGAGCGAAGGTGGTGACTGTAGACATTTATTGTGGTCATGAGTGCAAAATCACGTACCTGGTGAGTATGGTAATAGGGCCCTCGGTAGGCAGACGGTATCTGAAGGTCTTATAATTCTGGTTTTGGCAGCATTATAGATGTTTTAGGTCGGTATATTGAGAGACCCTTGCCTGCTGGTGTAGAAACGGGAGTTTCTAGTCTGTGACCATGAAAGCATTGAAGAGATTTCAGGTTGGTAGGGTGATAGATGTGGCATTGAAGAGGTAGTTACAATGCAATAATAGTACTCGTTTTCGGTGGGTATCAATTAGGGTTGTTATACCTATTTGTGGAAATGGGAATTGCATATCCGCAAATAATATCTGTAATAACAGCATATAAGGTGTTTCAGGTTCGTATGGTTATTGGTTCCCCGCACTGAGGCGGTGCAATTCTTAGAATTGTACTGGTTGCAATAAGGGGTATCAGGTGGATGTAAAGATGATCAAGGCAGGTGATTGGAAACGGTGGTTGCATAAGTTTTACATTTGTGGCAATGGATTAGCTACACTGGTGGGTACGGCGATAGCCGTGAAAGACGAGTATGGAGACGTTGACTTCCAAGTGCTGTATTTGTTAAAATGGAAGTATCAAAAGAGACTTCCGTCGGTAATGTCCGTGGTCGGTCTAAGTGAAGTCGTTAGCTGCAAGTCTGCAATTAATGTGGCAATGGCTAGAAGAGGTTTCAGGTGTTCTGTTTAGAGCTTTCGTGCTGTTTGTGAAAATAGGGGTTGATAGTCTTGCAATGAAAGCATCTGGGTGATTTCTGGTTGATATGGTAATATTGGTGGCCGCTTTGAAGAAACTGTCATTGCTATTCTTGCATTGAAATGTATGCACAGATGTGTGGTCCAGATAAGTGGCTATGGTGACGACCGTGGTCGATCTATAAGTGGACGTCGTCTGCAAGCTCTTTAGTTGGGTAATTGGCATCTTGTGTGAATTTGCGATGATATAAGCCAAGTACACGTTTTTGGTGGGAATATTGACACGTTGTTTGTGGAAATGGGGGTTGCTAGTCTTGTAATCATGACAATATCTACGAGATTTCTTATTATGCTGAAATTCGTGGCCGCTGTGAGAAAATCTTATATTTGTGTTGAAGAAATTGAGTTCAGTTGCGTTTTCGGGTGGGAATGGTGGTGGGCTGCCTGTCTGTTAATTGTTCTAATGGAAGCGTGGCACTGTTTTCAGGTGAATGTGTTGAGACTTGCTCGATGTGTACGGAAACTGGGGTTGTAATTTTTTCGATAATGAAAACATCGAGGCTGTTGATTGGTAGGGTAGTCGTGGCCGCTGAGAGGAAACTGATTGCAATTTTGCAATTTTTGGTCATAGAGGCAGTGAACCGGTTTCCATCGAGTGCGTTGATGGTCGAGTGTGTTCCGATTGATTATTTAGTGTTTCTGGTCCTGTCAAGGGCTAATTTATTTGTCTCGTAAGTGTAGTGCATGTTTTTTCGGGGGTCGGGTGATCTACCGTCGCTGGGTGGCATGTTCCGTTGCCGATCCGATCTACCCGTCTGCTAGCGGGTTTTTCACAACCAGGTGGTAATGGAAGCATAAAGACTGTTATAAATTTGTATGTTATAAACGCGCCCGCTTTGTGGTAACAGTGACTGAAAGTCATTTTATTGTGTTAATGGAAGCCTAAAGGAAGTTATTGATGGTATGATATAAACGCGCTGCTGTGTGGAAGCGGTGTCTGCAAATCGTATAATTGTAATAATGGAAACGTGAAGGACGTTTCAAGCGGTAATGGTGAAAAACTCACCAGCTCTGTGTTGAGACGGTGGCTACAAGTCATGTAATTGCGGTGATGGATGCGTGAGGGATGTGTGTAGGGGGATACGGTGATAAACGCGCCCTCTCTGTGTGGAGACAGTGGCTGCGACCCGCATAATTGTGGTAATGGAAGCGAAAGGGAACTTGCAGGTGGGTATGGTGATAAACGCGCCCGTTAAGTCTGGAGTCGGCGGATGCAAATTGTATAATTGTGATAATGGAAGCATGAAGGATTTTGCAGGTGGGTATGGTGATAAACGCTCCCGCTCTGTGTTGAGTCGGTAGCTACAAGACGTATAATTGTGGCAATGGAAGCCTCAAGGCAGTTGCAGGTGGGTATTGCGATTGGCGCGTTTGCTCTGCGTGGTGATGGACTCTGCAAGTCCTATAGTTGTGGTAATGGAAGAATAGTAAGTGTTTCAGGTGGGTACGGTTGGCGCTGCTGCTCTCTGAGGAGACGGTGTCTGTAAGTCGTATAATTATGGTAATGGAAACCTAAATGATGTGTGTGGTTGGTGATAGGTCCAAGTCTCCCTGTGTGGAGACGGTGTCTGCAAGTAGTTTGTTTGAGGTAATGGATGCAAAAAGGTAGTTGCAGTTGAGAATGGTGAATTGTAAATTGAATATTGGTGTGACTGTTGGTGTTATTGTTGTTGATATTCTTTGTTTAATATTGTTCATTGAGTTTAATTGATTGTTTTGTATTCCATAGACTATTTTTGGGGTTTTATACTGATATTCTCTGAGGCCTTTTTTTTTTTCCATGGAAGTTGCAGATTAATTATTTCCATCTAATTCAATTGTTCTCAGGCTTAGATTACATTATTTTTCTGTTAGATTTTATTAGTTTATGGTATTTTTGTTTATAAGTTTAATTTCAATTAAAAATCTTTGTGAATGAATATAAAATATTATGTTTATTTTTTTATTTAAAATATTATGTACATTTTCCTACTGTGTTCTGTTAGTTTCATTTTAAAGTGATTAATTGAACAAATTCTTTAAGAGCCAAAATATACATGTTTTTGCCAATTTAGTCATTAAAATTGATAGTAAAAAATAAAATTATGAAGTATTGCATTTTAACATACATTGCAAGAAATGTTTGTTATTCTATATCACAACGAATTCTGAGATATTATTTGAATACAGGTTAATGCAGGGTAAAATAAAATAAAAATGTGGCTATATTGCTGTGGTATTGCTTATGAATGCTACTTGTTATAATTGTAGTTTAGTGTATAAAGGAAATATATCAATTGATAATACATTTCTCAATAAGGGAGATAATTACATTTATTTTAGTTGGGTTGTTGATTTTCTGTGCTTCATTTGTAAAGTTTGGGTAGATTGTATTTTATTTTGAAATTATATAAATGGAAAATGGATTGACATGTAGATTAATTTTCTTAAATATAGTGGTGATCAAATTCTCTTTGCTTGAAGATTAAGAAAATGAATTCTAAAGTAATAATTTTTGTTGTGGTAATTACTGGTTAATGTTGTTCATTTTATTTATTTTGTGTGCAATCTTTATTTACATACTAAGATAACATGCTTGGGGGTAATTATCTATGGTATATCTAAGATTTCATATGAGAAGAGTAATGTTTTTGAAAGGTTTACCTCATATTTTATAATGTTGTTTTCCAAGAAAATTAATTCAGTAAATTTTATTTTCATCATCTATTTAATGTCTTTTTTGGAATAATTGTTGTCACTCTGTGGTAGCTAAGTAAGCAGTTGATCTTGTAAAGAGAGTAGAATCTCACATTCTCAGTGTGTGGTTTGTAGTTATTGAATAACTTGAATGATAAGAGATTGTCTTGATATAAGAACGCGACATTTGGTACTTCCATAATAAATTTACTTCTGATTGCTTAGCCTCATCGTTGCAATTTCCAACCTGACTGTAGTGCAATACAGTTTGCTATATTGGTCTTACTCCCTGCTTTGGAGATTGTATAAGACCAGTATGCAACATTTCTGAGGAGCTTGCAGTTTCAAATAATTCATAAATAAAACCGTCTAGGAAGTGCTATCTACTACTTACCACATGTTTAAGAATAATATTAATAGAATTGAAATTGTAGGAGTAGTCTGAATTGACTTTCCATTATTGCTAACCAGGTTTTGCTAATTGACTTCAATGCTAACCAGGTTTGAAAGCAATGCTCTTTTCATATAATATTCGTACTATTAATTATGTTAGAGTGTTGCATTATTTAAAATTCCCTGAGAATTTACTACAAAAATATTGAAATTTTTGTTTTTAAAATTGGAATGAAATAACAACTTGACTCTGAATATTGTTTTATTATCATGCATCTATGATTCAAATGTAACCCGACATATATGTTTTTTAATGTGGCAGGTCATGTGTATATCTTTGATACAATTGATTTAATTCACATCAACGTCATATAGTGGTATTTATTTCCATACAAACAGCAATGCATTTGATTGGAGAATTATAAAAAATTGCTAGGCATTAAAAGCACATATGAAAGGAAGACGAGTTACAAAATTTAAAAACCCATGGTATAATATGAATTTGTAATCTCCGTATTTTGTGCATTTAAAATCTTATGTTATTTTTTGTTTTGTAAATTTGAACTTAAACATAAAAAAATTGCTATTTGTTAGTTACAATTGTTGCAATATTTCTATTTGTAGTATGCCTTTAAAATTATTACAGATGAACCAATTGAGGCTAATGGATGGTCCGAACTTCACTTTTCAATTGTCAGGTTTATTGGAAAGATTTTAAAAAAACTATAACCAAAGTTTAAAAAGTTGTTGGCTTATATTTATATAAACTACTGACAGAATAACAAATATTTAAAGATAAATTTGTTGTGACAGTTTTTCATAAAACATAATTGACCTGACCCTTACAATAGCATTGCTTTCTTTCAAGAACTAAATAAATTGATTTTTCTGTCAGATAATTTTATTCATGCATGTTTTCATCACCAGCGGTGAAAATATTTACTAAACAGTTTTATTGGAAAGTGATTTCTATTGGAAAATATTTGATATGCATAACATGTTTGTGACTAAATATTTGTGTAGAATTTATGACCAGGACATACTAAGTTAATAATTATTGCACTTGCTGAAATACTATTTATTGAATGTAATTACATTTTATTACATTTAAATATAGCCATTTATTCATAACAACAAACATCTTCTAATGTAATACTATTGCATATTTACAAACAAACAGTAATATGTACAGAAATTATTGGACTACGTTCACAAAATAAGATTGTTCTACTCACTTCTGTAAGGTTACTACATTAATAAAAAAGAAGAGATTTTTCTATTTGTAGACAAAGAAAAGAAATTTAAAATGTTTAATTCACAATTAAATAATTATGCTGTATTGTGAATAAACAATTGAAGTTTAAAACAGTATAGTATTATGTCATTGGAAATGTATTTATAAATGAGATCAAAATGCATTACTGCTAAACATTAATAGGATATTTCCATGCTAACTCGTCTACAATGTGAAGTTGAGAAGACATTTATAAATAATTTTCTACTTTTGTAACTCTGAAATTGTAGGTATTATTACAACAACTATACATTGTACCAGAAATGACTACATATAAAAAGATCGCAACATTGGATCTCTTTAGAATGTCACAATTCAACATGTATATATATTATTCAAAAGTAGAGAAAAAGACAAGAATTATTTTAATACCATTTTTCTTCTGACATGATCCCTTTCATGCTGGGAGTGGCATGTACTACTTGAATAGTATTTGTTTGCGGCTGTGGTGGCCAGTGATTGTTAGGATGACAGGAGTTTTGCATAGTGTGGCAAGAATTATGGATCATCTGTTGTTGTCCTTCAGAAATGCGTATAACAACAGGAGCAGGTGGTGCTTCCCCTTTGATATGCCTTTTGATTCCATTCATACGAACATCAATTTGTGTGGGAGGTGTTGGTGGGGGTGTATTGTTATTCACAGACTGCAGACTTGTTGCTTTGTGAAGTGATAGTCGCAAGGGTTTCTTTGGTGGAGTAGGCCTTTGTGTTTTACATTCTTCACCATTCTTCCTGTAATGTGCTTGTGAAGATGATTCAGAACTGTAGTCCAAAGATTTAGTGCTGCGAGCATCATTGGTCCTTGAAATATGATGTCGATTTTCATGTCTATGTTGTGGAGTGAGAGTTGGCTCTGAATCAAAGTCCAGGGACTTTACACTGCGAGCATCCGACTTTCGTATTCGTTGCATTCCTGTTGATGACTCAGATGTGTAGTCCAATATTGATTTTAAACTTTTTGCTTCAGTTAATGGTCTGCTCTCTGAGCGTCTATGATGATGCCCTTCTATATGCTTTCTCTGATGAGCCCTCTTGTGTTCTATTGCAGCATTAGCATCCAGACCATATTCCAGCATAGAATGCCCACTTTTGACTCTATACATATCAGAATTGCAGTGTTGATCAGCATGTTTGGCACGAATTGCTTCAGAGTTGCATACATCTAATGAATTTGTGCTCCGTGCATTATGTAGATGATAACGTTTGTCATGTTTGTGATGATGATGGTGATGGTGGTGGTGATGAAGACCATTCATTGATGAGCCATCAGGACCAAAATCTAATGATTTGGCACTCCTGGCATCATGGTTTTTCATTGGAGTATGATTGGTGGAAGTTACTGCTGAGGCAGATGCAGGTGGTTTCGGTCGAAGGGTGGGTAGACTGTGTCTGGATTCAGCTGGACTTCTGCTACCAACTTCAAGGCCTGGCAAATTTGCAATCAAAGCAGTGACTTGGGGCCCTTTTTGAAAAACCTAGAACAAAAATATGTGTATAAAATTAGACTATTACTAAATACTGCAAAGAATTAGTACAAAATTAAACATTCCAAATTATCATCACTTTTGCAGCGCAAAATACTCATACTAGTTCATCATTTTTCCAAATTAATGAAGTGAGTCAAGAGGTGTGCTGAGTATGTAATGCAGCAATGAGAGCCACAAATATCTAAATTTCTAATGGAGATATCATTACAAAAATAAATATTAGAAAAATGAAATGCATTTTTGTTTTTCAATTATTCTCTTTGCTTGTAATTTCACAAGCAGGCATTTGAAGCTGTTAACAGGGAAGAGAAAAGCATTAGTCTTCCACCTCATTCCACCATAAGACCGGTGTAAAACGAGGTGGACCTCGTGCATTCATTGCACAGGCTCTCACCGGCGGACGAAGGCTGCGGCCAGACAGCCTTGAAGGGTGGGGCATAGGGTCTGAAGAAGGGCGTGCTCACCAGATAGCAATAATATGCAACTCGGCGAGTAGCATGGAGCCCCAACTATTTCTCTCAATACGCAGTTAGAGCGCGACTCCATTATACATGTATCGGAAGATATTATATTTATAAATGCAATGCAATGCATTTGCAGCCTTACACATTTAGAAAACCAGGAGTCGCGAGTGAATAGTAGGGAAACTAAGTCCAAAAAACTTGTTCCGATATCAAGCCAGATGAAGGTGATGTTGTTAAATGTGTTGATAGAAGATTCGTTTTTTAACACATTTTAATGTATAGTATTGTATTTAAAAGAAAAAAAAATGCCATAAGATGGATTTTCACTGTTCTGCATCTTAGTTAAAGAAACAATGCATAATTTAGTACCACAAAATAATGTTAAAAAAGAATAAAAGGATTTAGCAATGTAAAAATCTAAAAACATTGAAAATGGAATTAGTAAATTGAAAAAGCTATAAAATCATCTGAACCCTATTGGGATTTTAATGTCATTCCTCTAATAACCTTTTTACAATACGTTCGCTTACCATAAAATGAAGTATTAACATTTATTTTAATTGTTATATTGACTTTACAGAATAAATTATGACGAGATGACTTCTTTTTCAAACAGTACTTAAGGACCCCAAATCTCTGAGAGCCTCAGGACCCCTTCTAAACGAAAGACGGCCATGTACGCAAGGGGAGAACCAAGCAGAAGGCAGGCGTGTCTGTGCAGCGTGTCGTACCTGAACCTCCGTCTTGTTGGGTGCTGGGGCGTTGGGCGGCGGGGCGTGCGGGGGCGGGCGGCCGGCGTGCGGCGCCAGGCCCCCATTGACGGTGCCACCTTCGCCCGCCGTGGGCGACGAGGGCGTCTGCGGAGTGGGCGCCTGCTGCGCAAGTCGCCCCATCAGCTCCGCCACCTGCAAATAGCGCTCTTAAAATTGCGGCAGTTGGATGGCTCTGGGTGGAGAGGGGAAGATGCTTTACTGTTCACATGGTCCCCGTGTAGTAAGTCTCTGGTCGGAACCCACTCGCCGAATGTTTGTGAAGTTTTTTACAGATGGTGGTCCGCGGAACCCTGGGAAACTACTGAATCCATTTATCATTTTGTTGTTGTACTGCTCCAATTGGACAGGTCGTTTTCTACAAATCACCATCGCTTCTCCATTCAGACTTCCGCGGGGCGAGCAAAGGCGGATGACTAGGGTTGTGAAACCCCTGACGTAAAATACGAAGTGGGATCGATAGAAAGTATTAGATGCAAAGTTACACATTATAATATGGTATACAGGCGCGATATTTACGAATTGATAAAACTCATATGAAGTATGAAAGTCTTAATCGCATTTAATTGTGATAAGTAAGAACGATTACATATATTCTCCCTGAGATGGTAAAGATTTGGCACGTCTGCTCATGTATATGTGGTAACTGTTAAATAATTGGAAATACGAAAATTATTTCGTGCATCATTAAAGAAAGTAAATAGTTTGTTTCTTTTTACGTTTTCTTTTCACGTTCAAAGGAGCGATCGCTGCAGACTCGTTATTAATGAATGAAACATATTGCGCTCAAAGGGTAGCCATTTCGCTCGTGAGTGGAATGTGAGGGATTTTTTTTTTGTTCTGATGCAATAAACCGCGACTAGATGCATTTATAATTATAGGATTGTTAGATAATGGAAATTTCCCGGATTTCAATTTCTTTACACTTGGCAAGGCAGTGGGTTAAAGAAAATGCAGTAATGTTATTCAACCGGGGGATTCAATTTTTGGAACTGAAAGTATTACAAGAATTCATATGTATATGAGTAAAGATATGTATAATTTTTTTAAAAAATATGCCAAAAATTATTTGTAATTGAACAGGTATTGAAACAAAATAAGACACCTGAAATAAAAAGACATAATTATTCAATTTGATTTCACTCTAAATGAATGCCGCAAATACTCGATATCGAGAGAAAATTCTGTCTCAAAGAGCGGCCTTTATTCATTCGAATCGACACGTACCCCTTATTATGTATTATGAGAGCGGTCCCTAGTTTAAGGGGTACGGCCCTGATTGTGCGATTGGGTTGATTGACGTTTGCTGAGATGCTATAGCCATTGGTCACATTAATGTAGAGTAAGGAATGCTTCATCGCGGGCAGTGGTGGCGTCCCTCCCTCGCTGGATGCTGAGATCCGGCGCCAACGTGCACGTCGGCTTGTGGGGCATTTCTCCCTCCAGGTGGCTCCCCTGGTGGCACAAGCACTAAGCCCTCGACTGGTATCTCAACATGTGTGGTGCAAGTAAGGGTAAGTAAAGTGTATGAAAGGAGTATATCTGTATGTGCTTGGCGCGACAGCCCGTGAACGGGCTCAGGCCTACAGGCGACGTCCCTGCCTCGCGACCATGGGTTAAGGGGTAAGGGGGTACGTGTGGTTAGCACGTAGACATCCCCACGCTGTATTCTGGTCTTCTCAACCTGAGAAGTGAATTTTCTCATCATTACACAGCAACATATGCTGGAACATTGCAAAGAAAATGCACACTATAGTCTTGGATCGACCAGGAATCGAACCCGGGGCTGCGTAGAGAATGTAAGGAGTGGAGAGGGAAAAAAAGGAGAGATCGCGCGCGGTCTGTGGCCCATTTGTTAGGATATTGCTCCGGCATTCGCCTGATAATGATTGCAAAACCGCAATCGGTTGCTCTGATCGGTAATCGGAGATCTTCCGGACATCAGCAGAATTCCACCTAGCTCTCTAGCCAGTTAGTGTGATTGGACAGCGAGTGACAGGTTCAGAGGTGTGTACCTGCTCCTCGAGGTACGAGATGCGGTGAGTGAGGCGCACGTTGGCGCCGCGCAGTCCATCTGCGCGGCCGCGCGCAGACTCCAGCTCGTCGCGCAGCGCCGCCAACGCCGCCGTGGCCTGCGCGTCGGCCGGGGGCTCTGCGCGCGCGCGCAGCACTACCAGTTGCGCAGGCTCGGGGGACGCCGCCAGCAGCCGAACCAGGTCGTCGCGCCCCTTGGACAGCACCAATCGCCCGTTCACCTCCACCAGCCTGCAACAAGTCGACAAGCCGACCATGAGGAATGTGCAAGGACTTTCAACTTCGCAAATTCAGGAATGGAAGAAATACGATGCCACGGTGACTACGCTACATTCCGACTGTAAGGGTCCCTTCTATGCAAAAACCAGTTAAGGAAAACTTTTTAATTTTATATTCATTGACATAAAGGAAAATGTGTAATTAGTTTGTCAATTATACGTAATAGTTACACATATGCATTGTTTATAGCTAATAATAATAATAATAATAATAATAATAATAATAATAATAAAAACTAACTTGTATTCCATTTTAGGGCTACATGCATTGGTTGAAGGAATCAGTAAGCACCTCCTTATTTAAAATTGAGGCCTGAGAAAATTAAAAAAAATAAATACAATGAGTATTTGTTGATTGTATTTGGATGTGAGAGGTTCTTGCTTAGGCAGAATACTGATAAGTTTGGTATATATGAAGTATTTGAGAAATAGCCAAAGGAAACGATGAGTAAAAATAGTCTATTCGCGTTAGTGATCCTATCTACTGTCTAGCAAATTGGAGAAAAATATCTGGTCTGTGCATGCGCAGATTTTTAAAGGGTGATATGCTTTCATCAAACGTTTCGTCAAAACTTCATCAAACCTTTCGCCTCTTTAAGCCGAGTTGTCCGTGGCGATCGAAAGGGTGATCCGATACAAGGTTGGTTCTCGGTAACTGCGCGTTATCTTTACCGCTTAAGACATGAAATAATCTATTCACTTCTTATTTGTGAAGACTTCCAAATTCTGTGCGGACATTGCAAAACTGTAAAGATTTTCATCGATTATTATCAGTCGTACAAGCCATGAAAATACATACCGCGATCGCAAAGCTGTCTGCGAGTCGCTAGTATGAGCGTCTTTTCGATCTACAACCTTCATATTTAAATGCAATTAGATCGATTTCACAGAAAATCGAAATAGCAATCTATGCTAATGAGGACACAGTTTCGGCCGTTCAAGTATGTAGCCTGGGTAACAATATGCCATAAAGTCGTTATGTAACCTAGATAACGATAAACAATAACGCAGATCTTGTGTATTAATTGTAATCCTGACAAAACGTTTCCGTCTCTTGGCAACTAATTCAAGGCGACCCAAGACGTTTGAAGGCAACTTGAAAGATTTTAATACAGCATATTTGCCGTATTCTATCTTAATTGATGAAAAATAATAAGATTTAATATTACAAAATGTGTGTTTATAAAAGGCACTAAACGTTGGTTTAAAATAATGGTTACCAGCGGTATCAAATGCGTCAGAAGTTGTAAAAGAGCTGTTAAACAGATACTGTTAGAACATCATCAGCTCGCTCTCGCTACCCACCAACCGCTGACCTTTTGTTCAGAGTTTCTACGGGAAGACGAGCCTAGCATCTCGGCTCCGCCGGAAATGAGTACAAAGCATTCTGTGCAGCGTTGCGTGCCATGGTTCCGCCGGGACGAAGAGGTCAGATTCCCACCGACCCGACCGCCGGTCTTGGCCGACTATGCCGCCGCCTACGCGCCGCTCGTAAGTGTGCTCTTTGATAGAATCTTAATAGTGGACAAAGCGTCGGTAAGCTAAACGTGTTCACAAACATACGGACACAAACACGATTATTCTATCCATAATTCGGCGAAAGAGCAAATACTGTCTTTGAAGCAACTTTACACTAAATACCAAACCTTTTCCCTTCAGTGATGATTTTCTGTAGTGTAATTTTGTTTAGTGTAAGAGTTGAACTTTTCTAATTATGACCAGCGAATTGCTGTCTCCGAATCTAGTCGCGATTAACAAAAGTTTGAAAATGAATGCTGCGTGGCATGTGGTCGTATTATTAGCCGTGGCCGCATGTGGTCGTGTTATTAGTAATATCTTAGAAGTACAGCATCGACAAAATTCTTAGTGTATCAACTAGAATGAATTCAAGTACGAGCGATTATAGCGGGAACACACGTGGAGATATTATTTTGAAGTTTGAAAGTAGTGTTTTATTAAAACTCAAAAAAGGGATTGAAAAAATCGCTGTCGTCAGCCTTAATTCATCGGTCAATTAATCCTTGATAGTACCTTTCGTGTTTTCAAAAAAAAAAAAAAGAAAAGAAAGAAAAAGTGAAAAAGTATGTTGCTTAACACTCAAAAGAAGTGTTCCTCCTGTCAAGCTGTGTTAATTAATAAACTGAAATTCGGCAATGATTATAACTTCCCTAAATCAACTCGTAAGTTGTAATAATCAACTCGTATCTTGTGAAATTGACGATTACGTATCAGGTGTTTCATAGGGATAGCTTTAACAGCAGTTAAAGCTTTAGCAACTCATTTCAATACAATGTCTCGATTGCCTGACGTAATCTTTACGTTCTCCCTCGCTGTTAAAAAGCAATCAAGTACAATGTATTCTCGTAAATGGTATTTGCCAAGAGATTCACGCAGGCGATAACAAATCTATAATGAGTCTCTCAATAGTATTCAACGACGCATTGTGTCATCCGTTTCCAAATACCGCATCCTTCCGTTCTTCAGTAACTACTTAACCTGCTTTCGGTCAAACCCCTTTCCGAAGCACTTCCCTCTAATTCTCTCTCACGCAACCGCATCTGCACAGCCACTCAGCGGTTCCGACAAGAGGCGAGACCGTGTCCCACCTCCCATCACTATTTTACTTCCCCGGTAGATAATAAAATTACGCGAATAAACAACGGCGCCTTTAGTTTGTTCGCCGGTTGGCGGGTTCGAGCGATGGCGAACTGCAGCTTCCTCTACCTTTTTACGGTCCCGTGGGAGGGGAGTGGCTCCCGCCGGCCGGAAAGTCGAGAGGGTGGCTGCAAAAAGACGAGGCCTGGAACTCGCTGGAAAGTCGACTGAAACTCGAAAGCTATGTGGGGTTGTCAACCATGTCGATCGGCAGGAAGTGTTGGGGAAGGGGGAGGAGGAGGAGACACGGTTCATCGGGTGACCCGCGTCATCCAGGCGAGATAGTGAGCAAAATTGGAACTTCCGATTGGTGGCATCGGTCGTTAGAGCAGTGCTCTGAATCTTGGGGACATCGGAACTCGCGCGAAGAACAAAATGTGATTGAAATCTCGTTCTCATTTTCGAGTAAAATATTATTACACTGGCCATTTTAAATTCCATTCAGATCTTTTTTTATTTCTAGTGGCGGAGATACAACAACACAGCTCTGAATTGTGTCCACTGACTGACAACGTGGCCCGTATCTCTACAGAAAAGATTCTGGTCTGTGGTGTAAAGGCTATGTGTTGGTATCTTTCAAGGAAAGGAGTGTTTGTTACGCGTGTTACTACTAAGTAGTTGCACACGTAATATACTAAATTGAGAAGAGAAAGTTCTGCGTTAGCCATACCACAGTGGTAAAATATATCCTCCATGTTTGGAGGTTGTGGGCTCGATCTTTGTGGTCATCTTGCTTTTTCTTTCAGTGTAACTATAAGTTTGCAGAGTACCTAAACAGAATTATGATAACGAGCTATCATTGCTAATTGCTGAAGAGGAGGTTGTTGGTTTGAATCCCGCCCTTTTGAGAGGCTTCCGGAGGAACCTCGCAACGAAACTTCAAGTAGGGAATATGAGGGAACGAAAAAAAGTATTATTCCTATTACCAAAGAAAGTGAAGGTTAAAGTAATTCGTTTAAATGAATAGATTAGATTTATTTAGTCAAAAAACAGTAAAAACCGTTTGACGTATGGAGGAGAAGTTATGTGCGAATGTTTTCTGGAGTTCCAGAATCCCTTCCCATAATTTTAACTATAAATATTTGAAAGATGAGTAAAAGTTAATGATAAATAAAAATAAAATTTAAAAAAGCGCGAGATTAACGACATTTGAAAAACTAGCCATTTTTGTTCTAGAGTATTTACCGATACTTATTGTGTTCCTTGGAATTGTTTTAATAGACAGAAATGTGAGAAATTCAAACAACTGGGAAGAGATACGTTGTCTAAAGTAATGGTGGAAATGGTTGTAAGGTCTTTTGATGACCTCTTCCAATTACGATACCAATTATGATTTTCTGAAAAGAACTTCTTTTGACAGTTTGCACGTAGAGGGTTCCGTACCTGTCTCCCTTGGCCATGCCCGCGCCGTCCGCCGCCCAGTCCACGTAGAGGCCGGGCTGGCCGTCGCGGGGGCCAGCGCCGAAGCGCGGGCTCTTGGGGTCGTACGTCAGCTCCACGGCGTGCAGGCTCACGTACGCCGCGCCGCTCACGCAACTGCAACACACGGCACACTCCACTCAGCACACCACCCACCGTCCAGAAAATGTTGTATCTTCATGTAGAGCATTTCAAGAGTAAAACGTTTCGTCCCAAGGTCAGGTAATTAAATCCTTGATGGCGAATATGGGAGTCAAAATTAATAACCCTGGAACCCCGTAGTTCATTTTTACTGACCACTTCATGATCACAGCAGGTCTTTTCGTGGAAGTTAATTTTCGTTTCCAGGGCAATCACCAGGAACAAAAACAACGTTAATGTTTTGAATGAGTTTTAACTAAATATTGAGGGGTTCAGTTGAGAGGAAACCATAAGTCATACTACTACACAGTTACCATTGTTTGAGATATATTGTATTAGATACATCATTCATTTCATAAGAGATACATAATCGAGATACAGAGCTTTTAATCTTTTGGGTGACACGTGTAATTCAAAGGAGAGAGCAAGAAAATCAATCTTACTCTAGACCTAACGAGAAAATGAAAATACGAGTAATTAATACTAAAAGGAAAAAGGGTTATCCAGAGAATATTCGGAAAACTCAAAATCGTGGCTTTAGACTCTCTCAAGACCCCTTCACATGTTAGACATCCATTTACAATTCTTTAAAACAGGAAACTCATTTAAATAGTATACTATGTCTGCACTCTTTATACTGCTGTCGATTCGATTGATTGATGTCGCGTTTGAAAAAAAAATTAATTTGAATATTTATTTCCTAGATTTTGTAGAGGCTGTTTGCCAGAATTCCAATTACACGGCTTAAATTTCTGTTTAAAATTCTTTGTTTTTTTTTCATTTATTTAGAATTTCCAAAGCTTTTGCCTCGAAGCGAATACGAGTAGATCAAACTTTTAATAAATGCTTCTCATTTATCGGTGGTCAGTTTATTGAAAGTCTACCATAATTACTTTTCTAGTGTGCACAACATTTCAAAGAGGAATAGCAATGCACTGAGTGCTTTTTCAAATGGGGAAACGTTCATTGAAAACAATTGTTCATGTTTTCTCACAAATATAATTGAACACACTCAAATAAAGGTATTTTAAATTAATACTCGAAACTTCAGTCCCTTGAACGATTTACATCTTTGAGAGTTCGTCCTGAAAACATTTTTACATATTTAAAACAAATTCAAACTAAAGCGATAATTTAACTAGTGATATGCGTGTTTTCCTGGTACTATTGACTAATAGTTGTAAGAAGAAAACGTGTTTAAGTGGAGAACATTTTACAAGTTTGTAGGAAATTTACTACTGAATTCGTAGATACTCTGCCCAAGGTCTGACCCACCTTTAAGGTTTTCAGATAGCAGCTCCTTGGATTTCGTTGGTAGTAACGACGGAAACGAAAGAATTACGCCTTCAACATAACAGGGCTAATACAGATTTGTTGCGAGGCAACGACCTAGAAAAATGCAACCTCAAGGCTAGGACGTGAAACGTGTTGCCTCGAAAGCCCTCTCTCAACCCGATGGTGTGTAAGACAATCAGTTACGGAAGAAAAGGAAGGAAAAAAAATGAAATGAACATTTGGGGCGAAGAAACCAACGTAAAAGAGATCATTCATGCCGCAATTTTCCACAAATTGTCAGGTTAAGAAAAGAGGACAATCAGGGACTGAACATATTTATATAAGGGTACACGGCCCCTTTTCAGGGGCGACGTGCATAAAAGTGCACGCCTATATCGTAAGCTAGCAAGTTGTAGGGTACCCTGACTCGAATGAATATGATATCACGAGGTGTGGCATTGTAAACCTTTCTGGGTGTGTGATAGTTATGAAATCGTAGCGAGGAACCGCAACCCACGGAGGTGGCTAGGTAGAGCGCTGTCGGGCGCTTGCCGCGGCTTGCGCCACCCGCCCCGCCGCGCTCGCAGTGTCCGCCCGCGCCGCAAGCCGCAGCCGCCGCCGCCGCGCCCCCGCCCGGCCGCCGCCGTGGGCGTCCGAGGTCTTCATCGGCGCGGGGCCGTCGCGTCGCCGCCGCCTGCTGCGCTGTCGCCTTGTCATGTTTACGGCCCCTCGGCGCTGATTTGCGGCTGCAGCCCGTCGCCCCCCGCGGTCCGCGGCGCAACGGCTTGCTTATACGCCTGTACGCGAGTGCGCTCGGGGACTACGTAGTACGTACGTTGTGCTACTCGGTGAAGGGCAGATTGCGAGTTGCATACAACATTTCGTGGAATCGACAAGGGGCTTGTGTCAAGTGCTACTGGAGGTCAATCTGTGGGACATGTTATCGCATTTTGACGAAAACGTCGAATAAGAATAACTCATTTGAAACGTTTTCACTTGGGTCAAGTTCTGACACTGATTCAAAGTCATGAGTTCGAATGAGAAGTTCTATTAGTCAATGATCAGAATCGAATACACTGACAAGAACAGATTAATGTGTGCTCGTATACTGATCGGCATATTCTCGTGTCCAATTGGTAATTTCTCTTGTCGTTCCTTCATTTTAGCGACATGTTGATATTTATTCTTTGGAGCGACGTCAATAAGAGCAACCTTCTTGCGGTAGCCGACGGGAGTCGTTGCCCTCGTCACTTCTCCTTAATAGCCTCTTCGTCTATATAAACTCTCCCGAAAGGGGAGCCAACGTAAGACACTCTTTGTGTTATTAAAAATGTTCTCAGTGGAAATATTTTGACCTTAATTATTCTAAATGATTAGATGATTTAAATTTATTATTCTCTGCACACAGACTCAATAGACCCAGAGCTTAAAAACGTTCTGGAAACATGAAACGGCTTTCTGAATGTTCTCTACCCCGATAACTCTGATGGAATATCACAAATATTTTCTTTCATGTTCAGTACACTTCCATCATTTGGGAATCTCCTCTGTTCTGCGAAAATCAAGTACAGCTCGATACTAGAGCTAAAATACAATAGCTATGAATACAATACTTATGTACAAATACAATTACGTCGTGCTTCTCCTCTTGCCGAGGCAGCCATCCGTGGAACGTATTGGCTTCTTTACTACGACAGTGTGGAGAAGTGGAACGTCGAATCTATAAGTTCCACGGGTTCAACGAAACCTTTCTGGAGAGGTCAGGGAAGTAAAAGCAAATGGGCAAAATATTTTACGATAAGCTAAACCATCTAACGAGCTTTCATTCCGTTAAATACGCTACAACTACTTAATATTTTTCTGAAATATTTTCAAAATTCATTACATATAAAATGTAAAATATATTCCACTCAAATTGTTGAAAATATTCCACTGAAAATTTCTAAAATATCAGATCTTTCTTCTCACGAAGTGCTCTCAATCCTTAAACATCTCTGCAGGAGTGTCTCAGATATCCGCTACACGATCCGTTCTTTTTGAACCCAAGGCAGGTGCACAGAAATGACGTACATCTTCAGAGTAATTTATAGAGACAAAAAAGTTTATAATCAATCTTATAATATCTATCAATTATAATATTATGTATACCTCTTTAATGTGTAAAGCTTGTACTTTAATGAAGAAGACATTAAGAATTTCCCAGATGATTGATACTTGACAATTTAGCATCTGATACTCTTAAACAAGTCAGGTCACCGTAATAATTCAAGGTTTTATTTTATCGATTTGGTAAATCAATCTCTTTCTTGGAGCAACTTTTTGAAGCATCTTGTTATTTCTTTATACTTTAGAAAACGTGTTTCATTTTTTACGTCAATTGATCATTTCTTGTGTAGATTCATATCAACCGATGACGAGAGAGTTGGTTTCCTTATGAACCATAATGTTTTTAATCAAGTGACATTTTCTATAATCCACATGATCAGACATACACACGTTCATAGATCAAGTTGTTGATAATATTTTTAAAATCTATTCAATTAGTTTAATTTATGTTTGGAACTCTATCAGTATTTGTTTCAAAAAATCTAAAAGTTTAAGTTCTACGTATTTTACTGAGAATAAGGAGAAAACAAGTTCAGTGGTTTCGTTTAAGTACTCATATATAGCACACAGACTCGCCGTAACCTGGACCGAGTGTAGAATTTGTACCATTTTATCTGATGCAGGGTCGCATTGTCTCAGCCGCTTGCGCGCTCGATTGTATTAAACGGTTAGGACAGGCATTGTGCCGCCTCTGGTGGGTTTATTGTCCTCTTTAACGCACACAATACGCGTGTCTCTAAAGGGGTCGCTGTGATTCATCTGGATGCCGCGGGCCGGGTTCTGTCGAAGGAGAACGTGCAGATAGTCCGGCTCCAGGTCCGAATGGCTCTCGATAAGGGTACGTAATTTGGCATGCCTCCATACTGGCAGTCGTTCTCGTTTAATGTATGAGCATCCTGAACGAATCTTATTCGCTCGTATCTTCCTACGTTGCCGTTTCAGTTGTTGAAACCAGTGGCTGTAGAAGTTGAAGCTTTTTATTTGGGCTCGTTGTGCTATCGCCTTTTGTATTCAGTTAAATGTTTGTATAGCTGCACTGTAACTGGTAGATGGATTATTGATGATTCTATATTACAAGTTATGGTTGCTTAAGAACCTGCCATAATGTTGTTGAAAAATATGCACAAATTCTCTAAAACTTCATGAATAATTTTACACACGTTTGCTCTTCGCTTGTAAACATATGAGACAACTTCACATTATTACGTTCTGTACAGAAGGTGGAACGGAGACGTCATATTATATCGGTGACCGTGGATCCCACAGGGTATGACCTCTCTGTCAGAATTACTCAATCACACTCCCTCTCAGAATTATTCTGACAAACATCTCCAGGATTAATTTACCTGTAGATACTTGTAAAGTGATGAATCATACTTCATGGATCGCAAATAAACTGGACAAACATACCATACATATACAAGTTGATTCAAACGGATTTTTATTTTGACTAAATTATTTATAAACACTCATTCATTTACCGACATATCTCAATTCTTTTATTAACTGTAAAGAAATAGTTTTCCTTGAAAGTAAATTTTAGAAGCACTATATATATTCCAGTACCACAGTGAAGAGCGATACTTTCACTGTAAAGGCCTGGTTGCTTCTTGTGATAACAGTGATGATTATTCAAAGGAGTTGTGTGGGAGACGGAAAAGAAGCAGGGGAAGTACGATTGCCTATCCCCCCCCCTCTCCGAATTCCGAGTGGCTGCTCATCCCTGGCCATCGTACGCTCCAAGAATCCCCCCTTGAGGTACACCTACACGATGTACTTGCCCGAGCAGGAGCAAGACATAATAAATCTCGCCGTCTCCCACGCGCGCGAGTGAGCATGCGCGCGCGCGCGCGCGTCATGCGTCGTCGTGAGCGCGATCGCGTGCGTGTGCGTGCGCCTGACCTGTAGAGCGAGGTGGCGTCGGAGCGCGCGCGGCTCTGCTCGGCCGCGTCGTCCAGCGCCGCCTGCAGCCCGCGGCTCTCCTCCAGCAGCGTCAGCAGGTTGAGCTCCTCGCGCCCCAGTTGGTACTCCAGCTCCGCCTGCTGGATGCGCACGTCGATGTTGCTGGAACATCACACGCTCGCGTCAGCCTCACTGACATAGTCGAACAGTGCAAACAAATATTTCTTTACGTGAAGTAAAGAACTTTGGTGATATGTGAAGAAAGGGTGAGTTATACGCATGAGATGGAGATTGTCGACCGAAGCAATAGCTAAGTGTGACGAGACTTCGAAAGACTGTACAAATTTTTTTTTGCATTTGTTAAATACAATATGCTTTTCTTCAACCATCCATAAATTGGTAAAAAATATAAAAATGTAAATTATTTCTATTTGTGAAGAAATCTTGTGGTAAAGAAAATGAATGACGCCAATGACCGGTCAATTGTGTGCAAATTTCGTTGGGCGGGTTGGGTTTGAGTGTGTAGTTTTTCACTCATTTCGAAATACTCGTACAAGCGTACTCACCTTTTTGGAACACAAAAAATGAGTTTCAGTAAAGTACTTACACAAAATTGTTGTGAGAGAAGATGTGAAGTTATTTCAGATTGTTCTATTGAATACTTTTTAAACAATATTTAGTAAAGTATGCCCTTGAAAGTGTCGTTTCTAAATATAAAGCAAATTCAAACATCCTAACAAACATATTTCATTTCTAATAGTCTATTATTTATTTTTTACACGAGGGCATTGAACTCACAACAAACTGGCTCACGTTTAATCCTTGCATCGGCCGTTCTTCAAGGCTACATTTCTATCGTCCGCACCATGTTTAAGCTAGATGAAGCTGGGTTTACATCGGCGGACAACACGATAAGTTAGTTCAATTAATGACATTCATCTAAAGTCAAGGAATCAATTGTGTATGATTGCAACAAAAATAACTGTGTATATTCTGAAATATTTCGATATCCAAATGGATTTAAGTTACATGACACAAATATAATGAACTTCTACTTTAAGCACATTTTAAGGAAAAAGGAGACGCTATATCTCCGCGTGCCTCTGGTTGGGCACGTCGATTCCGCGAACTCCCCGCGGCTGCTCGCGTTTACCGCCTCTGGCAACTCGCCAGCCACGGAGAGCACTTGCTGCAGCCGGCAGGTCCGGCCCTATAAATTGCGGGGCGTCTAACGGAACACAATGGGATACTCTGCTATTCTAGATATCCCAATTAAAAGAGAGATCGTGGAGAGAAAACTAGGAATTGTTTTCAATACAAAAACAAAAATCTATAGTAGCTTCATTTGACTGAAGATTAAATTGATTATTTTGATTGTTGAGTTTGTTTTTTTTTACGTAAAGAACCGACAAACATATTTTCTAACCCTATAAAATACCAGAGCAAGCATTGGCTAGTGTAGCACGATACAATAGTACAATACTTTATCAGATTATAAGAGTAAGACAGTGTGTTGTCTGCCAAATTGCCTAACGTCTAGGTTATGCTATATTGTTTATAGTGTAATTTAAAATCCAAATTATCGTGGCTATCAAACCATTTATAACTCTGTACCCCTTATGAAACTTTTATTAGTCAATTGTTTTGTCTTACTATTTTTATAACGTCTAAGAAACACATCAACACAAGGGAACTTGCATATCAACAAATGCGTGTATTGGGTAGTGAAATTGTATTGAGAAAAAAATTACAAATTAATTCTTACTATTTCTGTCGGAATATAATGCCTAAAGATGCTTTTAAATCGTTGCGTATTCCACGCCGCTTTCCTTCGTAGATTACAGCCCAAGCACCAAACTTCTCTCGAGAGCTGTAGCCGGAAGTATCACTAAGCTCCGAACGTGCATCATTACGGAAAAGAAGGGAAAAAGAGAAGAAATCTTTTGCGAACTTTGCGCGGTATTCGCGACCCGTTGCAAGCAAAAGCGAGTCGCCCCTCCGTCCGAATGTTACTCGTTCCGAAGCGCGGAGAGAAAAGTTTTATCGAAAAACTTCCGCCGCTGAACGCACTAGCTTAGCCACACTCTGCGTGGAGGGCGCGGCGCAGCGGCTGTAGCGGGACGCTCTGCGGTTCTTTGTCTTCTTTCCACCGCCTCCTGGCCCTTGCGAGGAAATAGAATCCGAGAATTCGATGTTTGTCATGGTCTATTGGAGTTGTGGCTTGTTAGGTACTCGTGGATTGATGGAAATCTTGTCACTGGATTATTAATTTGAAATTTTCACAAATGAGTTGTTGAATGAAAAGTGTTTTTATTTGAGTTTGAGTGATCGGAACGAACAGCGGAGCGGGAACCGTTGATTGGCAATTGTTTTGTGAAACTTAATTTCATGTTTAAATTATGGACACGAGTAAAAGTGGGCAACCGCTCTATTCATCAATTAATTTCCTCTTCTAATAAGGATAAAAAATCTATTCATTTTGTGAGAATCACATTCTATAGTTTTGTATAGAAAGTATTACATTCTCTGTTAAGGTATAATGGATCAACAATGAGTAAATACTAAATCTCATTTTCGACCATAATTTAAATAGATTGATACTTTTTCATAGCAATTATACGAGGATGATAACCATTCTCTAGATGAAGAAATATCCTTCTAGCCTAACGAATTCTTCAGTCTACGGAACCACCGATTATTTTGCGTTTCCATGCGATATATATATATATCTAAATATATATATATATATATATATATATATATATATAACAATGTACATAACCATGATTATTTCAATAGTTACATATGAACCCATGGAAACGCGTTTCAGCACCTCCCGTACCCGCTTAGACGCGATTAGTCCAATTTCCTATCGCCAAACAGCAAACGTCTTCAGAGCCAAGGGCGCGCGTGGGCGGAGAGCGGGTACTCACTCGGTGATGTCGAGGCGCTCGAGCGCCATCTTGAGGTTCTTGATGGCGAGGCGCTTGTTGTCCATCTCCTGGCGCAGGCGCTGCAGGCGCTCCTCCGCCGCGCGTCGCTCGGCCTCCGTCAGCGGCTGCGGCGGCGCCGCGGGCCGGAGGTACGACAGCCGGTTGATGCTCAGCGAGCTGCACAGCTGCCCCTTCAGGCTGCCAACGCAAACAATAGCAAGCAATAAGTGGCAGTAGGATTTTTTGAAAGTGAAAATTGCTTCATGAGTTGCCCCTGAACGCATGAGCGTCGCCACCGGGAGGAACGGTGAACGCTTCCCACGCAATGGTGTTTAGTATTTGAGATACGGTAACACCCTGGTAATCCGAAGTAATCGAGACTGTGGTTTGTTCGTATTCGGAAATGTTCGGATTTTCCGAAACAAATGTACCGTACGTATACAAATACATCTATAGGATTACCAGAAATGCAACGTAGCTTGCGATGTGAGAAAATGGCAATGTAGCATAGCGATCGCATCATCACATCACATCATCTAGCAGATTCAGTTCCTTACGGCAAAAGAAGATTACCTATTTTGCAAGTTCCTCTAAGTGAAAATTATACGCTAAATAAATGCATAAATGATACATAAATATGTAATTTATAACATAGTTACCAGTGTAATAAACGTTTCAATTCGACAACTTGTGTTTCAATAATTAGTTGTTCAGTTCTACAGTAATTATAATATATTTCCTTTACATTGTAAAGAAGTATTTTATTTATTTTTTCTTCATTCCTAATTTAGTTCGGATTATCCGAAACTTCGCACTTGCGGGGTTCGGATGAACCAGGCTCTACTGTATGTTAGAAGGGACTTCCCACTGATCTGTGCTTCTCCATCGAGTCGCCCCCTTTCCAATAATTTGGTGCCGGTGGCGCCCATGTTTGAATTGTGCGTTAAGTATTTTAGATCCGGTACTGTTCGTGACAGCTAAACTTTATTCATGAACAGGAAGATATATACTAGTGAGCTCAAGTTGCACAGAATATTAAATAATTTAATTTGAGTTAATTTCGAGATTCTACTAATTTTTATCACTCGAACTTTGGAGTAGGTACCTTTCATACATTTCTCCAAAGGTCTCATTGTCTATAATACAACACAAAAAACACGGCTGGTATCCCTTTAGCCAGAAAAAAACTGGTTTTAAGTGCCTAGGATGCATAGTTTGCGAGTTTTGTATGAGAATAGCGTCTGTTGCGAATTCCGTGTGTGCCAGCAGTTTTTCTTTTATCATAATCTGATGACGGTAATTTTTTCGTCATAAACATCTTTGATCCACCCGTTGGGGCTCTTCTTCATATCCAGGAGTAGCAGACTTACGGAACTTCCTCTACGGAGTCTTTTAAATTACACAAAATCGTCATATTTCCTTAGCGCGTTATGTAGAGAGGGGATAGGGAAAATAATCTCGAAAGGAGAACGGAGTTTTAAAGGGTCCATGCACGATTACATATGTACCATTTTACCCGTCTAGTACACACAAGCGTGTGCTTACAACACCGTTGGTAAAACTGCCACCAACAAAATCCACGGGCTTCTGATTTTGTTCAGGTTTGTACGGGATGTAGCTATACGTATCATGAACGTGTGTGAATGTAAACCGGTTACGGATGCAGTTTCGTTAAAGCCTCTTCAAGGCAGGTGCCTTAAGAATAAATGTCACATACCCCGAATGCGCATGAACCTATGAAAGGAAACGTAATCTGGCAAGGAGAAGCCGCCTCGAGTGGCCGAGGAGTTAAGCGTAAACAGACTAGCTCGGTCTGAAGAGTCGAAGGCTTGATGTTTGTCCCTAGACATTCGTGCCTTTTTAATTACTTCGCGTAAGGTACACGTGCTTTTATTTGTTTGTAATTTGTTTTCAATATGACTGCTTCTGACACGCTGAACATAGATATTATCTGCCGAAATGCATTCCATATTTAATCGATAATGTACAACATCAAGACCTTAACATGTGCTATCGATAGTTTCTTGATAAGGCAATCTATAAAGCTAAAGGAATCCGGATGCGAGACAGTGCGTGCGAGATCAGATTCGTCACGGTTTCAGTTACGGCAGGTGTAATGACGCAACCATAAAATTTCTAATATCACGCAGCGTTTTTGCAGTTCATTGTCAGCATATTTTAGCATCTTCGGCGCAGAATCCTACACCTAGATTTTTTTTTTAAAATTTCAACTTAAATCGAAAATGTCGAAGTCATTAATGGTATTTTTTTATATAAAACATTCAATACCTCGGCTATGTTTGGGTGCACCCTGCGTACGTTTATTATTCTTCATTTATCAAGTGGCGATCCACTATTCGGGTTCTGATACAACATATGTAAACAGAAAGATTTTGGTTAAATCTTTTTCAAACTCTAATTGATTTTTTATCTTTAAATTTAGAAAATACTGCAAAAGATTTTCACCAATCCTATAGAACAATTTTTTCCACACGTTTGAAAACATTTTTGTAATTTTCTTTACACTTTTAAGGACAGCATGCAAGTCAACTTTACGTGTTCGGTAGATTACACGCTATTCAGCAAGTACGTTGTACAGAAAGTCCCTAATGTAACGCCTATATGCTGAATTCCGCCTTTGTCCCCGATTATGTTATAGCTTTTATTATAAATTATAAATTTTGTTAGTTTAATGGAGAAAATAACTATTCCTTCATATAAATGCCAAATTGACATTTATCTGTATCCAAAGGCAAATGAAGGGGAGCCGGGAAGTGTTTCTCACATTCGCGAATTCTCAATCGCGTCTATTCACCCGCTCGGGCGCGGGTGAATCCGCCAGTAGTTCCCTCGTAGTTTTGCTCCGTAGCCGCGGCGTCTTTCGCCCACCGTTGGAGCGCGCGATGACACGAATCTCGATGGTATCCGACGTGGCGGCCTGGGCGCTGTGGGCGGTCGAGAAGGCAATTAAGTACGTAATGATCTTCATTCAGGCAGATTCTTATCCGCAGGAATTGCGCGATGGGCACTCGGAGTGAAAAGAGCGAGCCCGATGCAGTTTACGAGATGGACGCGGGACGGGGCAGGGCGAGAAGGGGATAGGGCAAGATGGAACGGGGCGGGGCGGGAGAAGGCAGAGCGGAGCGGGGCGGGTCTTGCGAGGCGTAGCAAGGAAG